CCCCCCCCGCCGCCATACCAAAGTTGTGATGTCAAGAGAGTGGGCTGCTGAGTTGCCTTAATCATCAGCTGGCATAATGAATTTTTGAGTTAAACATAACACTAGACATTCCAGGGGAGATGGCAGGAGACTCAGGACCAAAACAGACAGCCCAAGAGCACCAGATTAGGGCTATCACAGAGTCACACTCCACGGTGCCACAGCAACCCCACACCACGCCCCTAACCATGTGAACAGTGGGGTGGCTTCATTGCATTTCATTGAGTCTTGGGAGGGTGCATTGTGCATACACCATGTCCCCAAGCCACCAGGAAGCCAGCTCTTTATGCCGGTCTGTTTTGACCCTCAGTGTAAAAGCTCAAGGCTTTACAGTTGGCCCTCCATGGCTTTAACTTTCGTGGTTTTGATTATTTGCATATTTGATTGATATGTTTTTTCTAGGAATCTCTATGTCCTCCAGAGAAATTCTGCTGGGAATCTCTGGAGGACCTAGAGATTACTAGAGAAAATGTTTCCTTAGCCATTCTGTCAACTTTTGGCAGATGTTGACCATAGAGTTGCACTAGATTCTGTCAACTTTTGGCAGATGTTGACCATAGAGTTGCACTAGAGGACCTAGCGATTCCTAGAGAGGCAGTTTATCAGGTTAAAAAAACAAGGTTTTTTTTAAATGTAGTTTTCCCACTTTTACAGGGGTCCTGTGCCCCTAAAGGAAAAGGTAAAGGTAAAGGTATTCCCCATTGACAAGGTTGTCAAGTCATGTCCGACTGTAGGGGGCGGTGCTCATTTCTATTACTAAGCCAAAGAGTCAGCGTTGTCAGAGACTACTCTGTGATTATGTGGCCAGCATGATTGCACAGAACACTGTTTACCTTCCCACCAAAGTGGTACCTATTTATTTACTTGCATTTGCATGATTTTGAACTGCTAGGTTGGCAGAAGCTGGGATTAGTGACAGGAGCTCATCCCATCATGCACACCTGGGCTTTGAACTGCCAACCTGCCAA